TTTCTTTCTCAGCATCCCCCCACCATATTTGGCCTAGCAAGCTTCAAGAAAGAATGCTGGGAGCAAAAATGGACCCCCACCCCCCACATTTCCAGAGAACCTTTAGTTAAAAAAAATGCTTAATTTGTTCTTTAAAAAAAGTTCCAAAGATCAGCTGTGCGATATGCAATCATCAGAGCTTTTTTTAAAAAAAACTTCTTTTTAGTATTTTTTTACTACTTGTTCTGCAAACCAGTAGCATTTTTTTACTACCGGTTCGGGCGAACCAGCCTTGTTTTAACAGCCTTGGGAAACGTGACTTGTGACTCATTCAACCCAATGCGTCATCTTGCATAGATAATATAATAACATCGCCCTGTGAATTCCGTCCAGAGTTTAAGAATGCCTGCGTGTGAGTATGATTCTAAGTTAATCAGAAGGAAAATGAAAAATATAGCTAAATGAAAACTAACATGTACAGTAATGGGATCGTTTTGTAATGTTGCCTACTAGCCATCAAAGTAATTCGCTAACATGGGGAAAAAAGCAGCTAGGCCATTAATCACCCACATTTCCTTATTCACATCAATTTAACATTTAACTTAACATTCAACATTTCATTAGCATTAAAACATTAACTGGGAGATACTGCATTTTGCAAATGGACGATCTTATGTTACAGCTGTTACAAAAAAAACTGGTAATGATCCTTAAAGGAAAATCATTGGGAAATTTCTGAATTTTGGGGGAGAAAAACACAATCTATATTCCTTTCTGGACAAAAAGGATGCCATTATCCATCTTAAAAGCTAGAAGCAATGCAAGCTCAATTAGAATTTTTAAGGTAATTATGGTCCATGAAGCAGCATTCTCAGTATTGGATGTAATATTACGTTATATCTTGATATTGTTTGTTAATAAAGTTGTTAAGATTATCAATAGTATCAATAGCATTAAATTCAATCTCTGTGTTTACATTTTTATATTTGCTATATAGCAAATTGAAAGGGTTTTTTGGTTACACTATTAGTTTATACGCACATTACATGCTAGTCATTTCCAGCTCTAGGGGGCGGTGCTCATCTCCATTTCAAAACCTAAGAGCCAATGCTATCTGAAGATGTCTCCGTGGTCATGTGGCTGGCATGAATAAACACCGAAGGTGCATGGAGCACTCTTATCTTCCCACCAAAGTGGTCCCTATTTTTCTACTTGTATTTTTTACATGCTTTCTAGCTGCTAAGTTGGCAGAAGCTGGGACAAGTAACGCGAGCTCACTCCATTACGCGGGGATTCAAACCGCCGAACTGCCGGCCTTTCTAATTGACAAGCCCAGCGTCTTAGCCACTGAGCCACCCTATCCCTTGTGTAGACAATGCATTTAATGCAGGCTATTTAATAAAAAACAATTTTATATATGCATCAGTGGTGGGTTTCAAAAAAATTTCGAACCTACTCTGTGGGTATGGCCTCACTTGTGTGAGTGGCTTGCCGGCTATGTGTTCTCTCTCTCTCTCTCTCTCTCTCTTTCTCTTTCTCTCTCTCTTTCCTTCCTTTTGTGTGTCTGTCCATTTTTTCTTTCATCTCTCTCACTTTGTTTTTCTTTTTCTTTCTTTCTCTTTCTCTTTCTCCCTCTGTGTGAGTCTCTCTCTGTGTGTGTGTGTCTTTGTCGCTCTCTCTCTCCCTCCCTCCTGCCCTCCCTCTTTCCATCTGTGTCTCTCTATGTGATTCTGTCTGTCTGTCTGTCTGTCTGTCTGTCTGTCTGTCTCTCTGTCTCTCTGTATCTCTCTCCTCCAGTGGTGAGTTTCAAAAACTTTTGGAACCTCTTCTGTAGGTGTGGCCTGCTTTCCGGGTCCACTGGTGGAAATTCTTCTAACCAGTTTGGGAGATTTGATAGGTGCGAACTGGTAGGAATCCACCTCTGATATGCATGTGTGCGCACACACACACACACACACACACNCTTTTTAAACACTTAAACACATCAACAAAGACAAACATGCAAGCTAAAACAACACAGGAATTAAAGGTTCTTGTTGAGACTCTCATTTTTCCTTTATTTTCTTTGTTTCTTTTCTTTTCTTTCTTTCTTTGTTTCTTTCTTTTTCTTTCTTTCTTCTTTCTTTCTTCTTCTTTCTTTCTTTCTTTCTTTCTTTCCATTCCCCACCTCCCTTTTCTTTTCTTTCTTTCCATTCGTCTCTCTCTTTCTTTCTTTCTATTCCTCCCTCCCTTTTCTTCTTTCTTTCTTTCTTTCTTTCTTTCCATTCCTCCCTCCCTTTTCTTTCTTTCTTTCTTTCTTTCTCTCTCTTTCTTTGTTTCTTTCTTTCTTAACACAGATTAAGAAGTTGCCCTTTAAATGGGATTTTAAACAGAGGCTTAAGCTACATCGAACTGTGCTTCCGTCCCAAGTGGAATTCCTCAGGACTGAAGGAATGGGTGGGTGGGGCCTGTCCTCCCCTCCGGCCTCTCCTGCCAGCCCTTCCTGGGGCACAAAAAGCCTCTGAGCTCAGTTTTGCCTGCAGGACAGGACCAGCGGCAGGGGCGGCAAAGGTAGCGTCCAGGCCCAAGGCGGCTTGAATCCCGGCATGTGCCTGCCTGGGAGAGAGCCCATCCCGCCGGCTGAAGCGGGTGGCCCGACTGCCCCGACGGTCTCCTGCTCTCCGGGTGCTTTCGAGCCCCTGTGCAGGCAGCTGGGCTGAAGCGGCACTGCCGACCTCACTCTCTTCGGACGTCTTTTGGAGCAGAGGCTGATCCGCCACCCAGAAGACCCCGTCTCTCTCCCCCTTCAGCACCTCGGCCTTTCCCTGGTGTGGAGACTGGGCAGGGCGGCGTCTAGGTTGCACCCGGAGCTGGGAGGAGGCTGCTTCGCCACCCAATGCTCTTCATGCACCTGCCGCTTCAGGACACGCTCCTGAGCATGGGTGATGCCAGTGGAGGTGGATGGTCTTAGGCAACCCCTGTGAAAGGGTCGTTCGATNTTTTTAAGTCCTGGTATTTTGCGATTTTTTTCATGTTCCTTCTCGGCGACAACTTCTTCTTCTTCTTCTTCTTCTTCTTCTTCTTCTTCTTATTATTATTATTATTATTATTATTATTATTATTATTATTATTATTATTACCATCATCATCATCATCATTGGTGAGGTTCCCAGCCTTTTGGGCATGTTTATGGATTACCAAAATTGCAAGGTGCAGATACAGTTTTCTCCATTAGGTGGTGCACAAGGCTTGATTTTGCAACATTTGGAAGCCTTCAAAACTAAGCTAAAGCACTCATCAGGCTAGTTCCATTTCAGCAGCTCTTATGTGGTCATAAGACGAGGACTATCTGTATCAATTAGTGGGGAAGGCAGCTGTGTGTACAGGGATTCTGAAAACTATCTCTAGTTGCCTGCTGTATTCCCCCAGGCCAGAGGGATGTTGCAAATAGGTAAGTTGGATGGAGCAACTATGTGCAATCTACTTTATCTTCTTCTGAACTCTTCTGTACCTGACCTGGTTCATTATCTATGTTATTGCATTAAGCTGGTAGAAACAGAGCAAAGGGACATTTTCTACAAGCTTCCTGCTTCCTGTTGTCCCAATATAATATGGAAAATTATTGTAATGAACATTGCTTTTTGCCAGGAGTGAAATGCTACCAGTTCAGACCGGTTCGCCTGAGCCGGTAGTAAAAAATACCAAATCGGTATTTCCAACCATCAGCTGTGAAATGTGATTTATATTAACTAGAAAGCATGGCACAGTGGATTCCCCTCCCTCGCTGTTCTACTAACCTTTGCAGGCGCACTTTGTAGCAGGCTCCGCCAACCCGCCTGGATGTCATCATGTCCGTTTTTGACACTCTGCGCATGAGCAGAAGGTCCTACGAATGTGCGGAGGTGGCACGTGCGCTTACATTTGCGAACCAGTAGCGACGGTAAGAAGATTTCACCCATTTTTTGCTCATTGTGACCTTTGTAACCCTGGAATATTTCCCCAGGTGTGCCAACATGGCTCTCTTAATAAATTGGAACTTTGAGGAATGCTTTGCCTCTGATTCTGATTTAATTTTGGATGCTTTTTGGAACCCTGACACAGAGCAAATTGAGCAGGAGAATCTAGACATGCTTCTGTTTACTCTGATATTCCAATGATCCAATAAAAATCTCAAAACAAAAACTTCTACTTTTACCTGCATCAACCTTACCTTTACCACCATAGCGGCATAGGTCACATCCGCTCTCCACTGCTGTGGGATTGACCATCCTACTAGAGGATCAGCCTCATCGTTGTATATGGGGACCGAGGCAAAATTGGGAAACATCTTCTGGATCTGTCCCATGGCCTCAGTTTCCTGTTCCAAGATATGAAGAGACCTCCCAGCTCCCTGGTGATAAGTATTGTGATGACTGTTATTATCTATTAAGCGTACACCTGCTCTCCTACTCTTATACTATAGTGTCAAAATGAGGCCATGGAATCTCTCTTTTTAAAAATCATCTATAAGGTTATAAGGGTCCACATTTATGACCAAATTAAGATTTTTAAATGTGCAAGAAGAGGAATACTATTAAATAATGATAGGAGAGTAATAAATCCAACTACATTTCTATAGATATAAATAATATTAAGCTTATAATATTAAATAATTAATATTATATATTAAATACAGTACAGTACAATACAATACAATACAATGTCAGGCCTGAAAGCCATCTTTTACATTGGGCCCTGACAACAAAACAAAACAAAACAAAACAAAACAAAACAATATGGTCTCTGAGAGCTAGTTTGGTCTAATAGTTAAGGCTCCAGCCTAGAATGCTAGAGACTGTGAATTCATGCTCCACTTTAGCCATGAAAGCCAGCTGGGTGACTTTAGGCCAGTCCCTCTTTCTCAGCTACTGCACAAGGTGGTGATTGTGGAAAAAACAGGAGGAGAAAGTTGTATTAGCCTCCAAGATATTTGTAAAAATAATAAAGGTAGAATATAAACAAATGGCTTCCCTTTTATTCTCGCTCTACCAGAGGGATTCTGCGGTTTGTTTAACCCTTGTTCATAATAAGCTTCCAATCATGTTCAATAAACTCTACTGAGAGTCTTTTTACTTGAAGTTTTATTTTATTTATTTATTTATACAGTGTATTCATCCAACTCTCAATAACTCTGGGCAGCTTAAAATTCAAAATATAAAATACGAAACTTCTCTCCCCCCAAAATGAAGAGCCTCAAAAGCAATATATAAACCAGGAAAACTCATCCGAAAGGGACACAACCTCAATCTTCCCCAAAGTTTGGGGGAAAGCCAGGTCTTTAATAGCTTCCCGAAGGATGGAAGCCATCCAGATCTTGGGGGGTATGGGGGTCATGGAGGCTATCATTCCCACAAATCCCACAACAGACATGGTATTCAGCAGGTTCTGACCAGTTCTGGAGAACCGGTAGCGGAAATTTTGAGTAGTTGGGAGAATCAGTAAATAACACCTCTGGCTGGCCCCACCCCCATCTATTCTCTGCCTCCCAAGTCCCAGCTGATCGGGAGGGAATGGGGATTTTGCAGTATCCTTCCCCTGCCACACTCACCAAGCCATGCCTACTGAAACAGTAATACTTTTTTTTGAATCCTACCACAGTCCCACAAGGTGACACTGCTTAATTGATGGGACTGGGAGAGAATCTATTCTGCCCCATCACACCAGATTGGCAGAAACAATTGGAGACTGGTGGTCCCTCAAATAAAGGTAATAACCAAGCACTTTGAATTGCACCGGGAAATTCAATGGTAACCTGAACAGATCATGGAGAAATGGGGGGTCACACAGGCCTAATGAGGCATGCCCAACACGGCCCATCCTGCTGCATTCAGGACTACCAGCAGCTGCCACATTCAGTAGAAGAAACTAAGACAACAAAGTAATATACGTAGTGGCACTTTGAACATGCCATATAATTCTCTGCAAGAGGTAATAGCCACTTTTTATTCAGTCCAACTTGTCTGTACTTTTTTAATCCGATAAAAATAAATGAGAACATTTAACTTGGGTGAGGAACTTTTAAAGTTCTAGGCCATTAAAAAAATGAGCTGACCTTTTTATGCATGGCGATGTAGTCTAGCCGGACTCCTGTCTCTCCGGTGAAAAAATTTGTGCCGTTGTAGCAATGACGGAGGAGGTTCCAGCAAATGGGAGACTTTGGAAATGGATGAAAGGAATCTCCGGGGCCTCCCAATTTTAGCTGACCACTAGCTTCCCTTAATCCTTCCGAACAAGCATCATAGTAGTTGAGAAATCCTATATGCAAAATGAAAGAGTTGTGAAAGACTCAGCATTTGATATCAATATAGTATCTTATCAATGGAAAAGGGAAATATTGCACTCTTCAAAACACGCTAGACTAAGGATTCTATTATGAATGCTAATAAACTCCACTGTGCTAACACCTGTCTACAAATGTAATTTGGAAACAATTACTGTATATACTCGAGTATAAGCCTAGTTTTTCAGCCCACTTTT